GAAAAGGATGGTGGTTTGCGTCCGTGCATCGATTACCGTGGTCTCAATCAGATTACGGTGAAGTATAGTTATCCACTCCCGCTGTTGCGACCATGACTGAGTCGTTGCATGGGGCACGTTTCTTCACGAAATTAGATCTCAGGAGCGCGTACAACTTGGTGCGCATCAGGGAGGGTGATGAATGGAAAACAGCCTTTAGTACCACCTCGGGCCATTAGAGTATCTGGTCATGCCATACGGGTTGAGAACGCCCATCAGTTTTCCAATCATTTGTGGATGGATCTTCAGGGACATGCAGGGGCAGGGGGTGGTGGTGTACATTGATGACATTCTCGTGTACTCACCTACCCGTGTCGAGCATGTGGCCCTGGTGCGCAGGGTGTTGCGGAGGCTGGTGGAGCACGACCTGTATGTGAAGGCAGAGAAGTGTCTGTTTTTCCAGGAGTCGGTCCCTTTTGGGTTATCAGTTGTCGGGGGCGTCAAGGGGTGAAGATGGAGGAGACCGGGTGTGGGCCGTGCGTAATTGGCAAAAAACCAACCAGTGAAGGAGGTGCAGCAGTTTTTGGGGTTTGCAATTACTACAGGAGGTTTATCCGGGGTTTTGGACAGGGTGGCAGCTCCCATAAACGTCTCTGTTGAAGGGGGTCCGGTGCGTCGCATTGGTCGGCCGAGGCGGACAGGGCGTTTGGGAGGCTGAAGGCCCTGTTTACCCGGCCCCGGTGCTGGCGCATCCGGATCCCTCTTTGCCGTTCCAAGTAGAGGTGGACGCGTCGGAGGCCGGTTTAGGAGCCGGCTTTCACAACGGTCTGGCGCCACCTAAACTCCCCCCCTGTGCTTTTTATTCTAAGAAGCTCAGTCCGGCGAGCGGAACTATGACGTAGGGGACAGGGAGCTTTTAGCCTTTGGTAACGGCTCTAAAGGTGTGGAGGCACTGGCTTGAGGGGGCTCAACACCCTTTTCCCCATTTTGACGGACCACCGTAACCCGGAGTAACATCTGGCGGCGAGGAGGCTGAACCCTCGCCAGGCAAGATTGGGGATGTTCTTGACCAGGTTTACTTTTAAGATCAAAGTACTCCCTGGGTCAAGAAGGCAAGGCAGATGCGCTGTCTCGGGGTAGGACGCGGAGGAGAGGTCGTGGAGCCCACTCCCATACGCCTGAGTCGTGTCTGGGGAACGGGAGTGTGGGAGGTCGATGATGAACCGAGCGGGGTTACCCCACCGACCCTAGTCCCCACAGTGCCGGAGGGTCGGAAGTACGTTCCCCTCGAGGTTGGGATCGATTGATCTATTGGGCTCACCACGTCACCCTCCTCTGGACATCCGGGTATCGGGCCGGACAGTGCACTGTCTTTGTGCCAAGTATGGTGGCCCACGTTTGGGAAGGGATGTGAGGGTTTATGTTTCCTTTCCCGCTCGGTGGTTCGCCCAGTGGGAAGGCGCCTAGACATCTACCTAGGGGGTAAGTTGCTACCCCTGCCCGTCCACAACGGCCATGGTCCCACCTATCAGTGGACTTTATAAACAACCCTTTCCCCCCTCCCAAGGGAATACTACCATCCTGGTCGTTGGACCGGTTCTCTAAGGCCTGTCGTTTGCTCCCCCTGCCGGGTCTTCCTACGGCCCTGCAAACTGCCGAGGCACTGTTTACCCATGTGTTCCGGCACTACGGGGTACCCGAGGACATTTGGCTGATCGGGGTCCCCAATTCACCTCCAGAGTCTGGAGAGCGTTTATGGAGCGGTTGGGGGTCTCGGTGAGCCTCACCTGGGTTACCACCCGGAGAGCAATGGGCAGGTGGAACGCGTAAACCAGGATGTGGGTAGGTTTTTCAGAAACATACTGCCAGGACCGGCCGGAGGAGTGGTCAAGGTACGTTCCCTGGGCCGAGATGGCCCAGAATTCACCCACGCCATTCCTCCCACTAAAACCCAACTCCATTTCAATGTGTGTTAGGTTACCAGCCGGTTCTGGACCCTGGCAAACAGAGCCAGACGAGGCTCCTGCGGTGGATGGGGTGGGCGCGGCTCGGAGGAGACTTGGAAGCGGGACACGTCCACCTGCAGCGGGCCCTCCGACGTCAGAAGGGGAGCGTTGATCTCCACCGCAGTGAGGCACCGGTGTACGCACCTGGTGATCGAGTCTGGCTCTCTACCAGAAACTGCCCCTCCGCCTGCCCTGTCGGAACTGGGTCGGCGTTTGTAGGGCCATTTAAAGTCCTGAGAAGGTTTAAGAGGTATGTTATAGATACAGCTACCTGTGGAGTATAATGTATTAACCCCTCGTTCCATGTGTCCCTTCTCAGGCCGGTGGTAGCGGGCCCACTCCAAGAAGATGAGATCTTGGAGACTCCTCCCCCCCCGTTGGACATCGAGGGGCACCGGGTACTCCGTGAGATCCATCTTGGATTTGAGACGTCGGATGGGGGGTCTCCAGTATCTAGTGGAGTGGGAGGGGTACGGTGGAGGAGCGGTGCTGGGGGCCCAGGAGAGACGTGTTGGACCCGCGCTCCTGACGGAGTTCCATCGGAGGCATCCGACGCGGGGCCCTGGCCGCGGTCCCCCTGGTTGTCCCGAGGCACGGAGTCGGCGCAAGTCTGGAGCCGCGCGTCAAGGGGGGGGGACTGTCACGGTTTCGCCGAGGCTGCCTCTCTCCCTTGTTCGGGGGAGGCTTCGGCGTTCGTCGTCTCGGAATTTTAGCTGCCACCGCTAGATGTTTCATGTCGTTTGCTTTTGTCTGTTTGTTCCACACCTGTTTTCTGTTTTGACGTTTAAATTTGTGTCCTATAAGTTTTCGTTGTGTTTGTCTAGTGTTGTGTGGGGATTTTTTCCGTCAGTGTTGTGTTTGCTCGGTTTTAGCGTATTTCTCCAATGTGCTGGAGCTTATTTTTCACTTGTGTGTGCACCGTTACATTTTGTCGCACCCGTTAGTGCCAATTTACCTTTTGCCTTCGTGCGGGTTTTGCTGTCGGGCTTGTTGTCCCGTTGCCTGTGTTGGGCCAGAAAAACAGCCTTTGGAACATTCAGTCTGCGTCCTGCGTTTGATTTCCCACACTACACTACAACACCCCCCTGACAGCCAGGCTCGAAACCATAATGACTTTGGGGAAGATCTGCAAAGAGGAGTGGGACAAAATTCCTCCTGAATGTGTGCAAACCTGGTGGCCAATACAAGAAAAGTCTGACCTCGTGATTGCCAACAAGGGTTTTTCCACCAAGTACTAAGTCATGTTTTAAAAAGCAAAAACAATTTATAACATTTGACATGCATTTTTCGGATTTTTTGGGGGGTTATTCTGTCTTCAATGTTCAAATAAACCTACCATTAAATTTATAGACTGATCATGTCTTTTTCAGTGGGCAAAAAGTACAAAATCAGCAGGGGATCAAAAACTTTTTCCCTCACTGTAAATGCTTTTAAATTATCTTAAAAGTTTTGTTAGTGTAGGACCACCGTAAAGCCCCTTCATCTGCCCTATAGGACAAGGTGAGGGAAAAATAGAGATGGAAAAATTATCTAAAATAACATGAGAAGTATCAGGATAGGAAGAGAATGCTTTAATGTACAGTAGATTAAACTAAAAAAAGCTAAGTGTCGTCAGGAGGTTAAAGTATGGCTTCTCACTTCAGAGAGGAAGAGCCAAAGCCCAGGACGGCTTTCCCTTTCAAAGGCAGAGCGGAGGGTGAGGATTTAAACTAATTTGCTTCAGAGAGACAGTTGAGTTATCCGCACAGGTTGGTGTGACAAAAAAACTAGAGCCCTTGAAATTTAAAAGAAACAGCAAAGTATTACATTCAAACAATTGGACAGTCTTTTCCGCGCCATTGTTATCTAACACCGGGTTGCAAGGCTCTTGCATTTAATGGTCCGCCCACGTGGAAATAATTTCCCTTGACAACCATGTTAAATTACAGTGTGGGGGGGGCGGGGTGTGTGTGGGATGGAGGTTGGCTGCACTTTTTATAACGGTTAAAGGTGATTTCAACCTGAATGATATTTCACCTGAAATGTGCCGGGGTTTGCATGCAGCTCATGCTTATAAACCCACTAAACGAGTGGTCAGTTCAGCTGTGTACCCTGAATGAGTCATTTCTTAGGAATGTTGAAGTGTTGAAAACCTTTATTCATCATTCCAGTGGTTTTAAGTGGTTTTTTTATCAGAAAGTGCAAGTTCACAAAATCAGTTTCTGATCTTTAAAAGTTAAGTTTTAAAAGAATTTGTGCATCTTAAAATCTATTTTCATTATTGCTTGGACTAGATTTGGGCTCTCCTTAATTTGGGTTCTCTCCTGCCTTTCTTTGGCCTGATCAATCATGTCAAGCTGTTCATTTGGCCCTTTGGGGTAAACCCTAGCATAAAAAAACAAAATCTCCATTGCAGTTCTGTGAAAATAATAAATAAAAACTTGTACACCCTAGAGTAAATGATCAGAACAATCCCTTAACTAAACTCCTTAATTAAGAGAGAGTTCATATTGATAGAAAGCCCTCATCCAAACCAATGAAAGTGGCTAATAGAAGCAGTCCTTAGTGGTCTATACTTCCCAAAACATCGAGAGACTGATTTTCGTTATGATAATTCAAGGTCTCTCCCCCACACAACATCACATTTGGCCAATCTCCCCACCCCCTACTGCTCATTCATAACTCCCTTGCATTCTGCCCGCTTGTCCATTGGGAGCCCCTCAAAATTAATCAGATGGACGTTTTAAGAATATGAAATTGTGTTGAATTTCAAAACCAGGGCACTCTCGACCTTCAACCCTAATTCATGACAAGTAACTCAATAAGTACTCACCAACCAACTGACTAACTCAACTAAGTAACTCAACTGACAAACTCAAATGACTAACTCAACTATATAAGGAACTCACTAACTCGACTGCCTAACTAACGCAACTCCCTCATTTAACTAAGTACTAAACGAACTAAATTTGAATACTCCTGCTTTCATTTATTCTGTTCCACCCCACTGATCTCTACCCCTTCTCTCTCTGTTAGGGTACGGCCATGCCACCCCCCAGCACGGATGGAGGAAGGTTTTCTGCATTGCCCTTACGCCCTGCTGATCCCTCTCACCCTGGTCATGTTCCAGAGCCTGGGCGGAGCGCATCAACACCCTGGTGCGCTACCTGCTCACCGCCTGAAAAAAGTGCCTTGGCATTGCGGCGCACCGAGGTCTCCATGGTCAACATGGTGGCCATTGGCTTCATCTCCTGCATGAGCACGCTGTGCATTGGAAACCACCCCTCCCTTTTCCTACTTCGAGGGATGGAGCTTCTTCCACGCCTACTACTACTGCTTCATCACGCTCACCACCATCGGCTTCGGGGGGCTACGTGGCACTGCAGAAGGATCACGCTCTGCAGACCAACCCAAAATACGTGGCCTTCTGCTTCATCTACATTCTCACCGGCCTGACCGTGATCGGAGCCTTCCTCAACCTGGTCGTGCTGCGCTTCATGACCATGAACGCGGGGGGACGAGAAGCGGGACGCCGAGCAGCGCGCCATCCTTTTCCCCGGGAAAGGCCAGGTGGGGAGGCCACAAAACCCCCTGCGCAGCGCCCCCGACTTGCCCTCCTCCTCCTCAGCTGCCTCAGGGTGTGGTGGGGGAGGAGGGGGAGGAGGGGAGGCCCCGGTAACAGTGGTATGGGGGGAGCGGGAGGGGGCTGCGTAACGTGTACGCGGAAGTGCTTTCCAAATTCCAGTCCATGTGCTCCTGCCTGTGGTAAAAAAAAGCAGGGAGAAGCTACAGTACTCCTCCCCATGATCATCGCCCGGGGACTGTCCACCTCGGACACATACATGAGCAGGGGGAGGCCTTTTCCTCCGACCCCCTCCACCCCCTTCACTCAAATGGCTGCGTCTGCAGCATGCACCACCCCCATCCACCATCACTCTGTGTCCACGGGCCTACAAGTCTCACCCCCATACAGACTAGGACACAGCAAGCGGCGCAGCTCCATCTAGAGGCCTGGAGGATGCAATGCTTATAAAACCAAGCCCCACCTCTTGTCTACCACATGGAAGGACTCTAATACTCTGGCACTATTTTAGAATATCTAAATCAGGGGTGCTCAACTAACAGTCCTCATGGGATCCCTATCCTGTGGTGATTTGATTTCCCCTGACACTTAACCCTGAACTATATCCTTGCAATATTTTCAGCATCCTTTCACATTTTGCCGTATTTAAGGTTGAAGTTGTTGATCTTCGATATTGGGAGATTGTTTGAATGATAAGAGGACGTTACACTGTGAGAGACATATTTAATGCGAAACAGAGGATTATGAATTTTAAGAAACTGTGCATAATGATAAGCCCACCTGATTTTATGTTTGGTGAGTGAAGTTTTATTTTTCACAAATAATAAAGAGATATGACGTGTTGCTCCCAGTATCATCAATAAAAACTCCCAGTAGTCATCAATAAAAATAATGTAAATATATTGATAATATGGATACCCTATTTAAACCAATGTACTTACTAGGGAAGAACCTATTTTTTCGTTAAGTATTCTAAAACTCAGTCGACTCTGTCTCGTGTCTGTAACTGAAGTTCAGTTTCCAAGCCGAAGACTTTTGATCTGCTTTAGTTACTTACTTTATCTACTCTCAACTTCAAGACCTATCATACTTTGTAAAAAGTATTGTAATTTTCTTTATAATGCTTTTTTTCATCCATATAATTGTTTAACTGTATGTTTGTTATTCATTTGTTTTGTTTTCATGATAGGGTTTTACTCAGTGCATGTGGGCTCACTGTGTATACTGTAGTAGACAGTCTAATCGTATTTACTGCTGCACTTTATAACATTATTGTATGCTTTAGGGCACTGGATACCAGTGCATTAGATATAATTGAATAACTGAATTGATGCTTACTCACCTGAGTTTTTTGGACCTACATAATTTATTCTTATAGATGTCATGCTCTTACAGTGAGGGAAAAAAGTATTTGATCCCCTGCTGATTTTGTACATTTGCCCACTGACAAAGACATGATCAGACTATAATTTTAATGGTAGGTTTATTTGAACAGTGAGAGACAGAATAACAACAAAAAAATCCATAAAAATGCATGTCAAAATTGTATATATGATTTGCATTTAATGAGGGAAATAAGTATTTGACCCCTCTGCAAAACATGACTTAGTACTTGGTGGCAAAACCTTGTTGGCAATCACAGAGGTCAGACGTTTCTTGTAGTTGGCCACCAGGTTTGCACACATCTCAGGAGGGATTTTGTCCCACTCCTCTTTGCAGATCTTCTCCAAGTCATTAAGGTTTTGAGGCTGACGTTGGCAACTCAAACCTTAAGCTCCCTCCACAGATTTTCTATGGGATTAAGGTCTGGAGACTGGCTAGGCCACTCCAGGACCTTAATGTGCTTCTTCTTGAGCCACTCCTTTGTTGCCTTGGCGTGTGTTTTGGGTCATTGTAATGCTGGAATACCCATCCACGACCCATTTTCAATGCCCTGGCTGAGGGAAGGAGGTTCTCACCCAAGAGATTTGACGGTACATGGCCACGTCCATCGTCCCTTTGATGCGGTGAAGTTTGTCCTGTCCCCCTAGCAAAAAAAACACCCCCAAGCATAATGTTTCCACCTCCATGTTTGACGGAGGGGATTATGTTCTTGGGGTCATAGGCAGCATCCTCCTCTCCAAACACGGCGAGTTGAGTTGATGCCAAAGAGCTCGATTTTGGTCTCATCTGACCACAACACTTTCACCCAGTTCTCCTCTGAATCATTCAAATGTTCATTGGCAAACTTCAGACGGGCCTGTATATGTGCTTTCTTGAGCAGGGGGACCTTGCGAGCACTGCAGAATTTCAGTCCTTCGCGGCGTAATGTGTTACCAATTCTTTTCTTGGTGACTATGGTCTCAGCTGCCTTGAGATCATTGACAATATCCTCCCGTGTAGTTCTGGCTGATTCCCACCTTTCTCATGATCATTGTAACACCACGAGGTGAGATCTTGCATGGAGCCCCAGGCCGAGGGAAATGTACAGTTTTTTGTGTTTCTTCCATTTGCTAATATCGCACCAACTGTTGTCACCTCTCACCAAGTGCTTGGCGATGGTCTTGTAGCCCATTCCAGCCTAGGTCTACAATCTTGTCCCTGACATCCTTGGAGAGCTCTTTGGTCTTGGCCATGGTGGAGAGTTTGGAATCTGATTGATTGATTGCTTCTGTGGACAGATGTCTTTTATACAGGTAACAAACTGAGATTATGAGCACTCCCTTTAAGAGTGTGCTCCTAATCTCAGCCTGTTACCTGTATAAAAGACACCTGGAAGCCAGAAATCTTTCTGATTGAGAGGGGGGTCAAATACTTTTTCCCTCATTAAAATGGCAAATCAATTTATACAATTTTGACATGCATTCTTTTTGATTTTTTTCTTGTTATTCTGTCTCTTACTGTTCAAAAAAACTACCATTAAAATTATAGACTGATCATTTCTTTGGTCAGTGGGCAAACGTACAAAAATCAGCAGGGGGATCAAATACTTTTTTCTTAAAAGCCTTCAGAGAGACAGTTGAGTTATCGAACAGGTTGGTTGTGACATAAAATAGAGCCCTTTGAAATGAAATGAAACAGCAAAGTAATTACATTCAAACCAATGGGACAGTCTTTTCCGGCGCCATGTATCAACACCGGGTGCAAGGCTTTCATTAATGAGTCAGCCACAGGGAAATAATATTTCCCTTGACCACCAGTTAAATTACAGTGTGGGGGACGGGGATTGTGTGGGATGGAGGGTTGGCGCACTTTTGATAATCGGTTAAAGGTAGATTTTTCACCTGAATGGGAGATTTCACCTGAAATGTGCCAGGGTGCATGGCAGCTCATGCTTAGAAAACCCACTGACGAGATGGTCAGTTCAGATGGTTGTACCATGAATGAGTCATTTCTAGGAAACTGATTGAAGTGTTGCAAAACCCGTTATTCGATCATTCCAAGGGTTTTAAGTGGCTCTATCAGTAAGTGCCAAGTTCACAAAATCAGTTTTTTCTGATCTTTTAAAAGTTAAGTTTGAAAAGAATGTGCGATCGTAAAAATCATATTTTCATTATTGCTTTGGACTAGAGTTGGGCTCTTGCCTTAATTTGGGAGTATCTCTTCTGCCTTTCTTTGGCCTGATCAATCATGTCAAAGCCTGTTCAGTTGGCCTCCTGGGGTAAAAACTAGCATAAAAAAACAAAAAAATCTCATTATGCAGATATCTGTGTAATTAATGATACAAACCTTGTACCCACTAGAAGTAAAATGTGATCAAGAAACAATCCCCTTAACGGACTTCCTTAAGTGTAAGAGAGGCATTCCAATGATAGCAAGGCCATCTCATCCAAACCAATGTAGTGGCTAAGAGAAGCAAATGTCCTTAGTGGTATATACTTGCCAAACACAGAGAGACTGATTTTCGTTATGACTAATTCAAGGTCTCTCTCCACACAACATCAACACTGGGCCAACTCACCACACCTACGGCTGCATCATAACTCCCTTGCATTCTGCCCGCTGTTGTCCATTGTGGAGCCCCTGCAAAATAATCAGATGGAGTTTTAAGAATATGAAATTGTTTGAATTTCAACACCATGGCACTCTCGACCTTCTAACCCTAATTCAATTGGAACTAAGTAACTCAAAGTAAGTAACTCAACAAACTTCAACTGACTTAACTAAAACTAAGGAACTCAACTGACTAACTCCAAAGACTAACTCAACTATTATAACGTAACTCAACTAACTCGACTGACTAACTAACGGGCAACTCCCTCACTCAATACTAGAGTAACGCAAACGAACTCAATGAATAACTCACCTGACTTTCATTTAGTCTGTTCCACCCCACTGACTCTCCCTAATCCTGTCTCTCCTCTGTCTTAGGGTACGGCCATGCAGCCCAGCACGGATGGAGGGAAGGTGTCTGGCATGCTCTACGCCCGCTGGGGTATTTCCCATCTCCCCCTGGTCATGTTCCAGAGCTGGGGCGGGAGCGCATCAACACCCTGGTGCGCTACCTGCTGACACCGCGCTGAAGAAGAGGAAGTGCCTTGGCATGCGCGCGCACGACAGTTTCCAGGTCCAACATGGAGGCCATTGGCTTCATCTCCTGCATGAGCACGCTGGCATTGGAGCACTGCCTTCTCCTATTCGAGGGATGGAGCTTTTTACACGCCTACTACTACCTGCTTCATCACGCTCACCACCATCGGCTCGGGGGGGATAGTGGCAATGCAGAAGGATCACGCTCTGCGAAACACCAAAGGACGGGGCCTCTGCTTATCTACATCTCACCGGCCGACCGATGATCGGAGCCTTTCCTCAACATGGTCGTGCTGCGCGTCATGACCATGAACGCCGGGAGACGAGAAGCGGGACGCCGGGAAGCCAGCGCGCCATCCTTCCCGGAACGGCAAGGGGGGAGGCCACAAACACCTGCGCAGCGCCCCTCCACTATTGCCCTCATCCTCCTCAGCTGCCTCAGGGGTGGTGGGGGAGAGGGGGAGGAGGCGAGGCCAGGTACAGTGGTATGGGGGGAGCGGGAGGGGGCTGCGTAACGGACGCGGAAGTGCTTCCACTTCCAGTCCATGTGCTCCTGCCTGGGGTACAAAAAGCAGGGAGAGCTAAGTAACCATCCCAATGATTAATCGCCCGGGGACTGTCCAACCTCGGACACATACATGAGGCGGGGGAGGCCTTTTCCTCCGACCCCTCCACCCCCTTCACTTCAAATGGCGGCGTCTGCAGCATGCACACCCCCACTCCACCATCATCTCTGTGTCCAAGGGCCCTACCAGTCTCACCCCAGACAGACTGGACACAGCAAAGCGGCGCAGCTTCCATCTAGAGGGCCGGAGGAGGCGGAGTTGCAAATGCTTATAAAACCAAGCCCCCACCTCTTGTCTCCCACTGGAAGGGACTCTAATACTATGGCACTTATTTTAGAATATCTAAATCAGGGTGCTCAACTAACAGTCCTCCATGGGATCCCTCTCTGTGGGGATTTGATTTCCCCTGAACTTAACCCAGAACATATCCTGCAATTTCAGCATCCTTCACATTGTGTCCCGGATTTAAGGTTGAAGTGTTGATCCGATTATTGGGAGAGGATGTTTGAATGATAAGAGGACGTTACACTGTGAGAGACAGATTGGAATGCGAAACAGAGGATTAGGAATTGTAAAACGAAACTGTGCATAATGAAAGCACCACCGATTTTAGGTTTGGTGAGTGAAGTTTTTATTTTCACAAAATAATAAAGAGTATGACGTGTGCTCCCAGTAAAGTAAGTTAATCATCGATAAAAACTCCAGTAGTCATCAATATAAAATATGGTAAATATATGTGATAATAGGATACACTAATTTAAAACCAATGTATTATAGGCAGAACTATTTTTCTCGTTAAGTTTCTAGAAACTAGTCGAATTGTATGTGTCTGTAACTGAAGTTCAGTTTCAAGCCGAAAAAGACTTTTGATCTGATGTAGTACTTACTTTATCGTACTCTCAAACGTCAAGACCTATCATCCTTTGTAAACGTATTGTTAAATTTTCTTTATAATTGCTTTTTTCATCCATATAATTGTTTAATGTTATGTTGTTATCATTTTGTTTTGTTTTCTGATGGGGGTCTCAGTGCCTGTGTGGCTCACTGTTGTATATGTAGTAGACAGTCTAATCGTATTTACTGCTGCAATTTAACATTATGTATGCTTAGGGCACGGATACAGTTGCATTAAATAATTGATAACTGAATTGATGCTACTACATGAGTTTTTGTGGACGACATAATTTAGTCTTATAGAGGTATGCTCTTACAGTGAGGGAAAAGTATTTGAGCCCCTGCTGATTTGTACATTGCCCACTGACAAAGACATGATAGACTAATAAGTGTAATGGTAGGTTTATTTGAACAGTGAAGACAGAATAACAACAAAAAATCCATAAAAAATGCATCAAAATTGTATATATGATTGCAGTTAATGGGGAAAATAAGTATTTGAACCCTATGCAAAACATCATGACTTAGTACTGGTGGCAAACCCTTGTGGCAATCACAGAGGTCAGACCGGGTTTCTTGTAGTGGCCAACAGTTTTGCAAAACATCTCCCTCAGGAGGGATTTGGTCCCACTCCTCTTTGCAGATCTTCTCCAAGTCATGAAGGTTTTGAGGATGACGGTTGGCAACTCAACTTAAGGCTCCCTCCACAGCTTTCTATGGGATTAAGGTCTGGAGAATGGCTAGGCCACTCCAGGGACCTTAATGTGCTTCTTCTTGACCAACCTTTGTGCCTTGGCAGGTGTTGGGTTGGGTCATTGTAATGCTTGGAATACCCATCCACGACCCATGTTCACTGCCCCTGGCTGGGAAGGAGTTCTCACCCAAGATTTATTTGACGGTACATGGCCAGCGTCCATAGTCCCTTTGATGCGGTGGAAGGTTTGTCTGTCCCCTTAGCAGAAAAACACCCCCAGAGGCATATGTTTCCACCTCCATGTTGACGGCGGGGATTAGTTCTTGGGGCAAGGCAGATCCTCCTCATCCAACACGGCGAGGTGAGTTTGTGCCAAAGAGCTCGATTTTGGGTCTCATCTGACCACAACATTTCACCCAGTTCTCCTCTGAATCATTCAATGTTCATTGGAAAAATTCCAGACGGGCTCCTGTATTATGTGCTTCTTTGAGAAGGGGGACTTGAGGCACTGCAGAAGTTCAGTCCTTGCGGCGTAATGTGTTACCAATTCTTTTCTTGGTGACTATGTCTCAGCTGCCTTGAGATATCATTGACAATATTCCCCGTGTAGGTATGGCTGATTCCTCACCTTTCTCATGATCATTGTAACCACCACGAGGTGGAGCTGCTGGATCCCCAGGACGAGGGAAAGTACAGTTATTTGTGTTTCTCCATTTGCTAATCATCGCACAACTGTTGTCACCTCTCACCAAGTGCTTGGCGATGGTCTTGTAGCCATTCCAGCCTCGGTCTACAATCTTGGCCCGAATCCTGGAGAGCTCTTTGTTGTCTGGGCCATGTGGAGCGTTGGAATATGATGTTGATTGCTTGGGACAGATGTCTTTGATTACAAGGTAAACAAACTGAGATTATGAGCACCCCTTTAAGATTTGCTACTAATCTAAGCCTGTTACCTGTATAAAAGACACATGGAAAGCCCGAAATCTTTCTGATGAGAGGGGGGGTCAAATACTTTTTTCCCTCATTCAAAAGGCAAATCAATTTATAACAATTTTGACATGCATTATTTTTGATTTTTTTTAGTGTTATTTCTGTCTTTACTGTGCCAAATAAAACTACCATTAAAATATAGACTGCTCATTCTTTGTCAGGGGCAAACGTACAAAATCAGCAGGGGATCAAATACTTTTTCCATCACGGTAAATGGGTCATAGGGAGATTTAGAAAACACGATTGAAAGGGAATGCATTTTTCCTTCCGGGGGATCCTGGTTTTGTAGGGCTAATAATTGGCTTCAGATTGGCATCGTCAAAATTCATATGAAAATGTATATGTAGTTTCATATGAATGACTACCATATGCCGGGTTGCAGCGTATGTGTAGAAGAAGAGAAGCACAAAGACGAATATTAACAACCATTAATTTGAACTACAAGTCAAATTTTCAATTTTTTGCATTTTCACAAAGTACTGGCTGACAAGCGGTCAGTTAAAAAAAAAACAAAAACACAATCTAAATATTAACCACATAAAAAGGCTGGAACTAACGGGTTCTTACTGTCCTCGAGCAGGCACGTACCAGCATGCTGACAACATGCGGAGGATGTGTTCAAATTAGAATTCTAACTTTAGCGGTGTCTGTCTACTTTTGAGTGCAAATATTTTGAATAAAAAGACATCGGGTATGAGTAAAAAAATACACAAATATGAATATAATGTATATACTCTTAAATGGACTGCGTTCTGAATTTGATGATATAATCTTGAAGCCCATTCAAAAGACTGGAAATGGACATGACAACCCGGGAAGTATGAGGTAGAGAATCACTTGCCAAGGGTATTGCGGGAGTTTGGCTGTACCAGCAGGCAAAAGGGTTACAATATGACATTAGGATGTCTTTTGTCTTTGGTTCAGGGTTAGGGGAAATTGAGTTTTTTTTAAATGCCTTTTAGCATCCAGAGAAAAATATGTCTACATCTGGCTGTGATGTGATAACAACCAAAATCGATGTTAGGACATCATGAAAAAATAGTTTTACTGGGTTTTTTAAATCGGGATTTTGCCTCTCCTCAAACAGAAAACCAATTAAACCAAGTGAAAACAACATAGTATGATGACTCACATGGACATTGTCGATGGGAATGGACATCCTCAGCATAGAGCATATGTGGTGGGGTTATGTGGATCACAGTTAGTGATTACTGAAAATAATTCTTTAGTTTTTTGTTAGAGAAATGAGTGATGGAAACATTATGAGATGGTACTGTAAATGTTTAACAGAATTTTTTTTAAAAGCTTTCACTTGAGTTCATGAACTCTTTTGATTTATTCACTTCAGATGATTTGAAGATAGTATTATTTGAGTGGAATATTTCCATCTGCCATTGATCTAACATTTCTTAATAAGTATAGAAATCGAAATGAATACCAACATTTTTTGGGTCATTTTTATTTATTCTGACGGGTGGTACGGTACCTGGGTAACCAGTGATGAACAGTAAATCTCAGTTCATCACATGATTGTTCAACAGCTTGGTGAAACAAATGTGTGAGCATGCGCAACCAGAGCGTGTGAAAAAAAAAAAAAAAAAAAAAAAAAAAAAAAACACTGATAATAAACAAGGCATGCACATATCGTATTGCAAGTAAAAAAAAAAGGGCATTTTAAATAAATCCATGCTATTCTACTCATTTTCCATGACTGGAGCCTGGAGACCTACAATGAAAAATTTAATTACCACAACAATGACCAAAAATTACAGGCTACTCTGGGACACTGACATACTGGATCAATAAAACGAATGACATGTCTAAAACCACTAGCCTAGGCCAATGAAAAGAGTGGAACATTATACATATGACAAGGAAATAATAGCCACCAACTTTCCAGTGGAATCACTGAATCCAAAACTGTTTTTCGCGCAATTGTATTTGAAATATTTGGAAGGCCTTTAGCTTCTGCCTGATGATGTTAATTTACCGCACAAGGACATACCACAACTCAACAATCGCTGTTTGATATTTGCTTCTTGTGGTGCCCATTGAGGGATTCCCGACTGTAGGCCTATGTGCATTTTGAAGGACCACAATGAATGAAAAACAAGTCTTGAATTTTTGTGTCATATAATCCTCCGCAATTTGTTTATGAAATTGTTGTGAAAAAAATAAGAAAGGACCAATACGTAGGGTGGTTGGGGAGCGGTGAACTAGCAAGAGCAGTGGGTGGGCTCTTATTAATTCTCATCTAATGAAATGTACCATGCACTTGCAACAAAGATAGCTCAGATGTGCGAGTGCCTTTTGAATCTGTATGTACATGTTGCCTGGTGTGGCAGCTGATGTATTTTAAATAGTTAAATGACATCTAATCAACAATCTAATCAAAAATGCGCTAAGTGATTGTGACAAAACAATGCATAGCAATTTTTTAAAAGAAGCTACTCATTCTTCGTGGCTAAATGATGCTCTTGGGTAGTATTTAATTGATTTCATTTATTTCTGTACAGACGGAGTAATTATAAAATGTGGCAAATTTTCATTTCAATTATCAGCATTCACTTCCAGTGGCTATATTTGCGTCTATGCAAGGCCAAATTATGAAATCTTATTATTTATTGAAAGGAGTTGGACTTGTCGGTGCGTCAGTCAACCCAATGTGAGGTATTGAATAGGTAGGCCTATGTTGA